TTTTGATATAATTTTTGTGTTAACATATGGTAAAATGTTTTATCGAGGTAACAGTTATATGTTTCCAGCATGATTAGAAAATTGTATGTTTATAATAGCTGCTGCTATTATACTGGGAATGGGTCATTATAATTTTGTTCATATGGACATGCACTGACTGTTTTATATTCAGAGCACTTGAAAGATGATAATATTGAAAAATTCATTTTCGTGCTGTTGAGTGTTTGCTGCATAAAATGGTATCTGGGTTGTATTTAAATGGCTACCACTTAATGTTTAGTAAGTGGTTATCATTTGGTGTTAACATACTGTAAAATGCTTTCTCATGATAAAAGTTGTGTTTCAGCATGCTTACAAGATGACAAGTTTATGGTAACTGCTGCTTTTATACTGAGAATGGGTCATTATAATTTATATTTTTTATATGGGCATGTACTGACTGTTTTACACTTAAAAATATTGAAAAATTCATTTCCTTGTCTTTAATTTGTTGTTGTGTAAAAAAGGGTCTATGTTGTGTCTTTAAGTGGCCATTACTTATATCATTTGAGTATAATTTTCATGTTACCATATGATAAATTACTTTATCAAGATAACAGTTATGTGTTTCAGCATGGCGACAAAATAACAGGTTTGTAATAACTCCTACTATTATTCTGGGAATTGGCTGAATAAAGGGTGTCTCTGATTAGGAGCACTCATTTCACAAACCTGTGATTTTCATGTGCATTTTGAAATTACCGGTGTCCCATAATTAAGACTGGTGGCTTTCTGGACAAATCATTTTGATATATTCTTTGCTTAAATTAAACAAGCCTGATAGCGAGTAACTTAGAAGATCACGATTTTAGCTTGGAAAAATTACAACAAAATTGTGTTGCATGTAGTGACCAGATACTTTCAAATTGGATACTGGTGCATAGGTAAAACATTTTTATTATTTTCTATATTTGAAACATTAACTGATAATCACTTCCTTTACACAACATCAATAAATGTTTTTACATATACTGGTGATGCTGACATCCATTTGCTGTTGAATGTATCTTTATATGCTTCATAAATAATAATAGCCATCGTATAAAATTTAATATCATTTGTGCACCTGAAGTGTTTTAAATGGTAATGGACGGTCTTCTCAAGTGTTTGCCCGATATTTATCCATATTATGGCAGTATCGTAATACATTTTGAAACTATTAATTGGCTGTTGTAAAAAGTTAATAACGGTGTTTGTAATTGCCAGACAAAATGGGTTGAAATTTAACGAATAGAAACTTGAACTTGCAGTATCAAAATTTAAATATTAAGGTCACATAGTCTCATCTTATTGTTTCTGATGAGACCCAATTAATATAGAAGCAGTTTTGAAATTTTCACACCTGTTAATAAATAAGAATTGATGAGATTTCTTAGTATGGCAATATGCTTAATGAGATTTCTGCTTCAATTTTTACAAGAAAGTTTGAATAATTTATTGATGATAAAAAGAGATCAGCTGGTTTTAACTTATTTGTATGTTATAACTTAGGTGTTGTGTTGTTATGCTGACTGCTTGCATAAAATTGTAAATAAAAATTTTTTTTATTTTTCACTTGTGAATCTTTATTTTCAAGTTCAGCTATATAACTAACACAATACAGTTAAGTACATATACAACTAATATTATTGGTTCTTCTACAGATTTAAGCAATAATTTTAAATTGCACATTGAATTATTTGCTAAGCAAACCTCTGATATACTAATTTATTTGAAACTTGCAAGACACATAGCATATTATAGACAAAATTTAGTGCATTTTTTATACCATTTTCTTTTAAAGACAAATTACTGATTGGAAGAAAAATGAAATGATAAGTAATAGTTTGTATGCAGATAATTTGGGTTTTTTTTCATAAATATTAGAAAAATATAAAGCAATATTAAATTATGAGGGAAAAGTCAGAAATTCCTTTTTTGAGTTAGTATGGCTGATTTTTAACTTTTTAAATGCTGCTGTGAAACCTACAAGGAAGTATAATTCATTAAAGTCAAGAAATAAGAAACAAAAAATTCTTAAATTTATGTCAAATTTTATTGTGTTAAATTTTGAAGTAATTAAATTATTCATTATATATAATTGAATCTCTGAATAAAATCCCACCCAAGTATCTATATCAAATAGTGAAATCAACGTTAAGTACGGCACTAGCGCGCAGCCTATTTTGTTTCGTTGCTCTCTCGGGGTTTCGACACAGACGACTACGCATGACATCACAATCCAGTGTCCCGGCTTCCTTCTATAAGGAGGTGTTGGTACTTCCCAGAGCAATTACAAAGCTCTTTATGAAGCCTTAGAATGAGTGATACAGGAATGTGTCCCTCTTAGGAGGTCTTGGATTCTGAAAAGAAGAGAAGAGGTGCTTTGCCTCTGTGGCAACTAGAGTCGTCATGCATCTGGTGCTATGTATGACATTATGAGTAAATTCAAGTACATGGCAGGAAATATGAATGTTCCCAAATGTGAGAGTAGTATCAATCTCCAGATGACACTGTCCAATATGGGCAACACACAAGAAAATAAAATATACAGTATTAAAAAGTTTGTGTTATGAAACATAACAGGCAGTTAGGCTACGTGTATGTGAGGGGGGAAATCACACGTCAGGCATTTAAATGAACTGCCAGTGTTCATCCATTTTATACCCTTGTCACTGTTTGTTTTTAGTAAAGAGAAAAATATTTGCAAATGTAAAATCGATGGCAACCCTGTTTCTCAATATGTTTGCCATCGGTTTAAATTTTGAAGGCTGTCTGAAAATCATATTAAAAAATATTTATTAATTATAAACATAAATATAATATATAATGGAAATAACATATAGCTATCTGTAATTGCCAGATTAGAGATTATGTATTTTCTTATATATGTCGTAGGGCTTGAAGAATACTTAAATAGGCTTCCAAAGTATTACTTCTCCAAGTAAATATGAAAACAGACTACTACACTATAGATTAAATAGGAATGACTGAACTTTCTCTTTAATATATTTGAATCACTCAATGAACTTCTTTTGATTGTCTTCAGAGACAACCAAAAAACATTTTCCCCCTATCAGATACCATTAATCTATTTTTTAAAAAATCAGACATACAGAAATAGATGAAGGAAGGCTTCTTTTTTCATAGAATGCAACACAGAGTATATGATTCCATTTTTACTTAATGAGCACTAAACATTATCAGTTAACTAATAAGTCCTTCTTTGGGTACCATAATTCAGAAATCTGTGTTAATGTGCTATTTTTTTTATTTATTTTTTTTTAATTTGAATACTTCAAGAATAATCAGAAAAGCATGTAAATGCACTTACTATAGTTCTCCCAATGTTTCCCCCTTACATTCATCATGTATTAACTTGCATTTTCAACTATAGTACTTTGAAATAAAGATATAATGTACTGTAATTTAGTACCTGGAACCTTAGACACAAATGGCTTGAAAATGCAACCAGCACTGAGCAAGCGAAGCACTTCAGTTGAGTATTTTATAATTATTGTTATGAATTTTGTATATATCTAAATAATTTTAGTGAAATTATATGATCTCTTGTATAATATAACATAAAATGCTTGAAAGAGCGAAGCTGTGCCAGAATAATATTACAAGGACAATTCTATTTAACATTGAGGTAAATAGCTGTCTTGGTGTATTGGCGAGATATCGCAGAGCTCACGACGGTACTGTAACTGATCCTTATGTGTCAGTGGTCAGCAAACTCATTAGTCAGAAGAGCCAGCTATCAATAGTTCAAAGATTGAAATATCTATTAAGGGCCACATTTTTTAAACTTAACCACTTGCGCTAAAAAGACGTGCCGTGCACATTGAGATGCTTTTGTCTCAAACCGCGAGCGACGTGAACACCACGTCGATAGGCATTTATCGCAAAAATGAAAATAATGTGGTGCACATGTCGCCCAACAACGAGATTGTTTATTTCTTGAGTTACAGCTCTTGATTGCACTCACAGATGCGGAGTGGCGTAAATGAGACACTTTACTGCTTGTTATATTGCAGCGCACGGCACCGCAACCTTGAAGTTTAGTCGTAGTGCAAGTTTTTGAATTATATAGGTAGATATATTGTTATTTACTTTATTAATCTTGCGCTGGTTTTTACTAAAAACGTCTTCATTCTGATCAAGGTACGTTCTCTGAAATCGCCCCTCTTCCAATTCTCTCATCCTCTTTTTTCTTGTAATGCTCTTTTCGTGTACCTTCTTTCGTTCATCCTCTGTATATGTCCAAACCATCTTAACATACCTTTCTCAATTCTATATCTTTCTCACTTCACAACACTAATTAAAATTAACTTAAAATTTCAATTTTTAAGTCTTAGTTAAACTATATAAGTATGTTAAATAAAACGTGATATCAGATTTAATAATGATACTATTTATTTGTAAAATAAAACTGTAAGGCATCCAAAAACTTAAATCATGATAATGATGAATGAACACTATCTGGGTTTAAGCAAGGTGAACAACCTGGCTGCGGGATTGTTTTTTGTGGATTTTCCCACAGGAAACATATACGAGGCAGTTTTCCTTAGAAAGTTCACGAAGGCATCCTTTCCCTTAGGTAAGTAGCCTTTGTTTGCTTTTCCATATTCAAGTTGTCCTAAATTAACATCATAAATTTGTTATTTTCCCAGTCTTCCAGTGGAGTATTTGTCTTTCCATCAGAATATAGTAAGCTCTTTTCTTTTATCCTTTTCCTGTGCATACTGTAATAGAAAATGAGCGTAAGAAATGGGTTTATTATTATTTAACTTTTAGGATTTTTTTTTTTTTTTTTTTTTTTTTTTTTGTTATTACCATATGCAAAGGGTCATCAATGCTTTTATTTTACTTATTTTAGAGGAGATGTTCAAATGCAAAATATGTTCTGCATTTGTTTGTAATATTGTTCTTAAACGTTTTTTCTGTTTCATTAATATTGGATTTCAATTTACTTATAGGCCAGGAGAGCAGAACAAAAGAGTGTCCAGAATGTTGATGATCGTACTTTAATTCTTGTTTACAAATTCCCAATGAGTGAGATTATTACAGACTTTTTTAATGAACTAAAATCTATATCATCTGGCTTTGCAAGGTAAATTATTTTCAACTTGTGATCTATTTTGATCACCAAATCTTTGTAAATTCTAAACTATGTACACTGCGTTGGGGAGGACAGGTCTATATCTCCCGTTCTACTGGGCCGATTTACGAAATTCAAAGTGCGTTTTTCATGTCTCGAAAGCGCGACCTAGGATATATATTAGTTTTATATATAGCATTGTTCTAACACAGAATCGGACTTCATAGCATCTGCATCTCATCATTAAGCCAAGTGTCACTACCTCAGAATTATGTGGAGCTGTTCTATTAGCCAAATTACTAAACAAGTTCAGAAAACTCTAAACATGAATATCAGTTCAGTGCACGCTTGTATAGATTCATCAGTAGTTCTATCGTAGATTGAAAGCTTTCCGGGAAGATGGTACACTTTTGTGGGCAATCAAGTTTTACAAATTCACAATCTATCCCTACTCATTGCTGGAATAATGTTCTTTCAGCACAAAATCCAGCTGGTGTGCATTCTAGAGGTTCCTTACATTCAGAATTATTGCAAACAAGCTATTGATTCAATTGTCCAAGTTGACTGCGAATGTCCAAAGAACACTGGCAAAAAATTAAAGATCAAGACATCCCTAACGAGAACATAAATGAAGCAGATCGAAATTTGAGATATTGGTTTATTCCGCCATTACAGATCAGGCTTAAACTCAACTTTTGGATTTAAGTTATAAGAATCTGTTTAGTTTTACTAACTAGTTACCTTACAGAATGTAAATTTCTAGCTCATATATATTCATATGAGGTAGAAAGGAGATAGTATGTAAAGGAAGGTTTTCAGAGCGTAGAATCTGAATGCATTCCACCTGTTGAAGGCCACGTTGCTGGATTGATTCTCTGGAGAGCTGTATTCTGCGGCATTGCATTATTCTCTGTATTGTGCCTGTCACTCCATCTTAGGTTAGAGCCAACTCGCACGTTTGTCTATTTGTGTAGTCGTTGGGCTAACTTACAGTTGCTTATTTAAGTCGAATTCTTTACATTTGATTTAAGACATAAATTTTGGCTATTCTTTGAGCACAAATGCTGCCTTTTGTTAAGATTGAGTTGAATAAAAGAGTCCTCTACACCTTTTGTCAAGCTCTGTGATACTTCAAAGGATGTAGTGCTAATTCTTTTAAGGTCTTAGAAGGTTCCTACACTGGATGCTGCCAAAGAAAATGAGACTTGATAAAGACACCCGCCCTTTGAAGAGAAACATGTCTCAAGAAAATTCAATGTTGAGTTTTCCCCCCTCCCTAGAATGTCACAAGCTCCACCAGCTCCATTTAATCCCATGGAGGGATTTGAATTGATCATAGAGATATTATAAGGGCTGCCATAAAACCTGCTGTCACCATTGATGGGAAAACTTCAGTAACTAACTTCCTCGAACAGTTAAATTCTAATTTTCTACTGTATCCAGAGCGACAATAACCTTGTCTGCTGCTTCTGACCCAATGCTTTAAAACAATCTCAACAGAAGTCCGTTTGCATATTGGCTGTTATGTGGCCCCTCTTGATATTTTATTATTATAAATTTAAATTACACTCACAAATTGTTGATTTTTATATCTTACGGAAGTTTACTGCATATGTGTTTTTCTGTCTTTAATATTAAGAGTATTCATCCTGCATTACAAAAAGCAGTGGAATATCAGAGACTAAATGTTTCTGTAGGAGAATTGAATATATTTACTAACAGTTCGGGTTATGACAATGAAATTGGTGCAGCATATGTAGTTTACCTTTTTGGTACAGAAATAGGCTATGGCAAAATTATATTTGAACCTTACAATTCGGTTTTTCAAGCCTACTTGGCTGCTGTTATATTTGCTCTTAAATGGATTGATAAAAACATGTATTAATATATATATATACAGATTCATTATCTGGTTTGGAAGCACTAGCAGATGCTGCTAACACTAATATTGTGGTCTCATATATATATAAGATCTCCTTGTAAACGTTGAGAAAATACATGAAGTGAAATGAACTGGGTGAAAGTCTAGATTGGTGTTATAGGCAGTGAGAGGTCCAGCATACTGGCTAAAGAGACTGCTATGGGTAATTCCGGGGATGCATTTGATATGAAGATGATGTGATAATGATTACAATCAAACAATTACTGGACATGGATGCTTCTTGGCATACTTAAAAAGATTTAATTTCCAAAATATAATAGTCTCTGATATTTTTGTAGTGCTCGAGGCAATGCACGACATTTCATCAAAGACTGCATATTATTGTGGCATATTAAGGAAAAACATGGTAACATAAAGGAATTCTGTTGCCACAGGAAAGAGTTTAGATATGCAAAAGATTTAATGAACTTTATGAATGGCAATAGAAACAATATTGGGAATTATGATTTTATGTTTTTAACAGGATTTTTGTTTTAATCATTGTTAGGTGTGCTGCGTTAATGAAGCTGATTATTATTGGCCAGGAGGGTTGCAGCACACTCTTATCTTATATTACTTTACTATAGCCAGTGCCAGAAGCACAAAAAGTTGTTATTGCGATGCCCACACTTAGAGGCCAGGCTTCCACTTGATATAAGTGCATTGGAAATTTATGTTGGATGAGCCAGGAAGCGATATCTACAAATTTTAAAATTTTAAAAATGCTATCATTAAAGCGTTCCCCCATTTTGAAGATAGGGCATAGTTCAAGTTGGAGCTATTTAGTAAATTTCAGTTTAAAGTTGAAGACCTAATGGATTTTTAATTTGTTGTATGGCAAGAAAGATCAAGAAATTATTCAAATTATCTTGCATATGTTATAAGAAATTTCTCGTGCTTTCTTAGCATGCCTTCGGGGTGTAGTGGTCTGCAAGCTCGGCGCGTATTGAGAGGCATTCTTATGCAGAATGGTCAATGGATGGCATACTTCAGTAAAACCCTCAATCCAGCACAAAGAAACTGTACTACCACTGAGCGGGAAAAGCTCGCATTTTTATTAGCAGTATAAAAAAATTCAAAGTCTACTTTGGCGAAGCTCCAGTTACAGTTTAATCCGATCATACTGCTGCTGGGCGCTTATATTCAGGAAAGACTTTACCGCCAAGATTTGATTAGATAAGCACTTACTTCAAGAATTCAGCTTAATTACTAAACATACTCTCAGAAGGTAAATATGATAGCCTATGAATAAAGAAGAAATATGAGAATAAAGTTGAATAAGAAAGGAAGTACAGTAGCATGTATTATGACAGCAAAAATCCCTCATTCAAGGAAGACTATCGTGCAAGAATTACGAATTACAAAACATTTATTTTTGTTACTATCAGAAATAGAGAATTATGAACTTATCAAAAATCTTTTATTTTACGCAAAAACAACAAACCAAAATTATAAGCCTAGAGCTGTTATCCCAGAAAGTTTAAGATTAAGCATTTTAAATGAGTTACACGATTCGCCCATTTTGGGCCACTTGAGAATAAGGAAAACAGTACAACGAGTTCGCGAGATGGTATGTTTTCCACATTTTTAAAAGTTTGTAAGTACGTATGTCAGGTCGTACCATATTTATCAGTTAAATAAGGATTTTTTAAATAAGGATGTTAATTATAGTGCGGCCAGGTACTTAAATAGTACAAAGGCGAAGTTTTCAAATGAATTATTCGGAATAATATTTTAGGCCCACACTCACGTAGTGATGTCAATAAAAACATATATTATCTACTTATCTTAGATCATTTCTCTATGTGGGTAGAAATAGTCCTACTAAGAAGAGCCTTGGCTAAAATAGATTTAGACTTTTCTTAAATAATTATATTTTAAAATGCAAAACTCCATTTAAAGTAAACTCGAATAATAGAAAAGAGTTTGTTAGGCAAATATTTGGCGAACTGTGCTCAGGACTTGGCATACGACATTTAAAAATGGTGACTTATTGGCAGTAGTCAAGCCTAGTGGAGGGGGTGAATATAGTTAAAATGATATATTGCTATGTGAAAAACTATCAAAAGTGGTAGGATTCGCGGTCGATGAGTTAGCATTTGCCATAAGGTCAGCAAAGCATGATGAGACAGGAAAGACTCCAGCAGAATTCTTCCTTAAGTGAAGTTTCATTTTAATTTAGTTTAGACATTGGAACTTCATTTGAACCTGAGAGATTCATGTGAGAAAATGTTAGTGAAAATATAAAGAAATTCTAAGAAACTCGTGTGTCTTGATGTAAGGTGCGAGTTGAATTGCCTTAATTTAATGTATTGTAAATGTATTATTTAATGTAGTAATTCTATTGTTTTTGTATTTAAAATGTTAAAGTACTGTTAAATATATGTGTTTAAGTAAATTAAAACTTGTAACAATTAAAATTGTATAGTGTGAATGAGATGTTTATATGCAAGCTAGCAAATTAAGAGGATTTTGACTTGAAAGCAAAAAAACTAGCTGTGTGCATGAGTTTGAGGTTTGGCTTTCAAGCCAACACAAAAGTAGTTTAAATCATGCCTTTGTTAGCACATTAGGTGTAGTTTTGATAGCAAGGTGTTTTTGAGGTCTAACATTTAGTATGTGGGTTAGGTGGTAGCATCGTGCCACTTATACAAAAGAAGCCAGCTTGATCATTACTGGAAAGCAGTAAAAATGTACTGTAAGAGATTTTATTGATAGAGGAAGAAGAGGGCAGAGATTTTATTGATAGAATACATGAGGTACATGAAAGTTACTGGTGTTGTTTGAGTAAAACGTATTTTTTTTTATTCTGTGTCCTCCGTTTTCATTTACTTTTTGTAGTAGGTTCCAGGAATAAAGAAAGATATAACGTATATTTCAAACCCATTTATCTTTTTTTAATTATTTTTGATGACCTGCTCGTGCATCATATTGTTACTGAAACTAACCGTTTTGTAGATGAGTATATGAACCAACACCTTGCAAACGAAAAATCAAAGACAAAATCGTGGCATTCAACCAGTTCAGAAGAAACATATGTTTTTTTAGGCATACTGATTTCACAAGGTATAACATTGAAACCTGATAAATGCAAACGAAAAATGAAGAACAAATTTGTGGCATTCAACCAATTCAGAAGAAATATATGTTTTTTTTAGGCATGCTGATTTCACCAGATGTAACACTAAAACTTGATATTACACTTTGCTGGTCTAAAAATGAATTGATTGAAACTCCATTTTAGGGAACTTTTTTTATTATAAAAATATCATTCTTATTAATCTTATTAATCTTTATTATATTTTTACTCAAAACATTAAATTTTGTGCATTCATTTTTTTTTCTTTTATTCTTTATTTTGTGAAAGTAAAAAGTTTTTAGAAAGTAAAACTTGCACTTATTTTTCACCTAATACATTGCATAACTATGCGCGCCTCTGTGAAAAACTATGGCACTGGGAATGAATCTTGTATGTTTTCTGTGGCAGTTAAGGGGTTAACTGTAGTCATTGTTATCAACATTACTGTGTTTAAATTCTAAAGTAATAATTGAAAATTGCTCAAGAACTGTAAACTATGATTGTATATTCACTGCCTGACAGACTGCAACATCATAAAATTTTGGTTGTAAAATTATGCAAGTTGCAAGGAAGGCGCAGCTAAATAGTTTATGTAAATGATCTGAAATGCAGTTGTGAACATGAGCTAGTGAAATAAAAGGAAAGGAAGTGTCAGTTGAGTAACAGCTGACATTGCTGCTGTGGGAAACGTTTTTCGAACTGTTTTTTGTTTCAGAAGATAACTGTATTTGAAAAGATGCCCAACAGGTTAGTCAATTTCGGCAATCAAACGTTTTTAGGAGAGGCATCATTTTAGGCCTACAACCTCTCGTTTCAGCGAAAGGTGCAGGGTAGTTAGTGTAAAGTGACGACTCTATTTCAGCAATGAAAATCGACGGATTAAGAATTAAACATTTTGGGAAGAAAAATTATATTACTAATGCAAACTGACATTTGTTAAATAAATCCTTTGTCAGATTTGAGTAGTTTTCAGAGATAAAAAAAGAAAAGAAAAAGCATAAACTGCATTCAGGTAATTGAAGAAATTTTAGAATTGTTCTTGAAACACACTCATGTAATGAAAATAGCTCTTAAGATGCAACTTGTTTTATCAATAAAACAAAACCATATCTTTAAGTTTATACATTTACAAACAATTTATTGAAATTCAAGAAACAGTACAAAATGTTTCGCACATAGAGTAATTATTTTCCTTTATATAACTGCTAGTATTAAAATATTTCATCTCATGAACCTCATATATATTTTTCAATAATTTAGAATATTTGAAATGTATTACGATATTTTAAATGGAGTGGGATGAAGTGGAAGTGTAGTAAACCCTTTAAAACATAAAGTTCCACATTCTCAAACATGTAGAATAATGTGTACTTTCACTGGGAATTCATACTGAAGGAAACAGAACCCTTTATTTCAGGAATGAAAAGTGAAACTTTTATCTAGGATGAAAATTACATGTAAAATATATAGACCACCACAAAAAAAGGGGGGGACGGTTGCTTCAGAAATAAAACATGTCATCTACGAGTCCATGTGGAGGGAACACTATATTCGCAAAACTTTATGAAAAGTGATTTAAATTGTTAAGTATTTAAAATTGGCAAGAATATTATTAACAGAAAACTGCATCCATAATGGTCTAAAAATGGTTTGATTGCTTGAATATGGCAAAGCACACTAGGGCGATACTCTTAAGAAGAGGCTTTTTAAAGGAAATTAGATTTTAGAGACCTTTTAAAGGAAATTGACTCGCATTCATGTTACACATAAAAAGAACCATGAAAACCAACCAATGCAGCTGGCCCATTTCTTTGCATTTGAACCCGGAGCAAACTACCTACGTTCAGTAATTTTTAATCACTCGGCCACTGGTAAGGTTGAAGCCAAGTTTAATTGCAGTGTTGTTCTTAAAAACACAATAATCAGAATATTTTGTTTCATGTTTGTTATTTTTCAAAGTAGAATGAAAAAGGCTGTGATTAAAAAGTTTGCATTTTTTAAGTATGAAAATTTAAATTTTTCTGTTTTGAGGACCGCTTAACCCAGAATATTATTTCTTTAATGTTAAATATGGAGCTAGTAGGAGCACTTTAATTTTTTGAAGAAGTATGTTTACTCTTTTAGTACATAAACCAAATATGAGAAGTATGTCTCGGTAAAGTCCGATTAATTATAAAGTCATGTACTTTTAACTTTTTAAAATTTATATAAGAATCAGGTGGGAACAGTGAATAGATTCTATTTAATATTCTGTGGTATACTGCTTTAATCATATTAATAATTCATTGTGTTTTATAGATCATATGAATCAGAGATTATTTAATGTTTTGTATATTTCTGAAATGATATTAAAATAGTTTTCCTCTAATTTTATCAATGTTATTTTAGTTTTGATTACGAAGAAATAGGATATGAAAAAAGTCATCTCACAAAGGTATGTTGGACATTTTAGTTTTGTTAGCTCTTGATTACTCTTCATTAGCTCTTGATGCTTTTCATATTTAAATTAATTATTTTGTTTGATTTTGTAATATAGATCGGTTCCAGGTAAAATGAATAAATATGCCTCAGAACAGAAAAAAAAAAAAGTCTTTTTTCCCCCTTCTTTTTATACATAATAGCTGCATAAGTATAAATGTTTTTACAAAGCCAGAAATTTGTGTAAAGTATTAAAATATGCTATGCTATCACAAAACAAAAAGGCCAAATATATTATTTGTCATGCAAACAGAAAGTAATTTACTGTGCTTCCCCTGTTTATAAAAGAGAATGACACTGAAAACAAGTAGTATTTCCTGTTTTATTGATTGCAAACTGGTGTTATACCAACATTTAATATGCAGATAAACTTGATAATCTGCTTATAATTCTGCTTTTTATGTTTGCCCCGTAGACAATATCTTCTTAGAGGTGACATGTTCAACACCACATATGCTTCAAATGATATTTTAGATATTTATTTATTTACTTTCCATGTATATGATATTTGAAATCTAGTTTAACAATTAGCATATCATACTTTGTTCTTGATAAAGTGTAAATAAGATTGTAACTTTTCTGCGCCTAATGTATGAATTTCGTATTTGACTAAAATATATAAAATGTTTACCACTCACCGATTATACATTTGAACAACATGGAAGTATCATATTTTCATTATTAATATCATTAAACCCATGATTACCAATCAGTGATCTTACTAACAATAAGTTAAAGATGCATGTTTTAAAATTACTCAATTTGTTAAACTTAGGTGGCTTTGATTTTAAAACATTTGAGTTTTACGTGATCTGAAACTATTAACTCCGCCAGACATGAAGCGGATTATGACTATGTCTAAAATAACTACAAACGATGAGTATAATAACCTATGAAGTATTTTCTCTCTCCTTTCAGCATACCTTTGTGGTATAACGGTAGCACACACAGTGCATTCAGCAAGGGCATTGCACATTTCTTCAGTTTTCTAACATCAAATAAAAACATAATGTCTCTACACTGGCTTCCAAACTAAAAGGTGGATCATGATTCTTCACCAACAGGATTTTGCAATTGGGTCACCTAATCCCCAATCGCCCTTTAATAGGGGTAGTATATAAGGTATTTTCTCCCTCCTTCCAGCATGCCTTCATATTGTAACAGTAGCACACTCGGCGCATATTCAAGAAGTCCAGTGTTCGAGTCCTGGCAAGGGCACTGCACATTTTTCATGTCTCCTCTTTAAGGTATCCAACTACGTTCGATACCCTAATTTTGAAAAAGGTGTACAAATAAATTCATTTTTGGTGTTCATTAGCAGAATGCTACTTAAAATGATAGAAACAGTTTATAAACATATTATTAAAATGTAATTTTTACTTTTTTCTCATATTTTGGATAAAAAATGTATTCAAATTTCAGTATCACGAGATTAGTTCCCTCAAAATTATTTATCAGTATTTTACTTTTATTTTTTTTCACTTATATTTATTAAAGCATACGGAATAAAATGGACTAAAATCTAAGTCTAAAAGCAAAAGGTCTATTAAATGTACATGTCTGAGTACATACACTAGCTATTTTTGAGAAATTTTTCTCTCTTCATTTACAAAATTGTCTGCAAAAATCTTAAATATGTATATAAACCTAAGCTTTTAGTCCATTTAATTCCCAATATTCTATAGAATATTTGTGGGAAGTATCATAAAATTGCTTTAGTAATATTTTAAGTTACGGTGTTTTTCATATTAGAAATGTTGACAAAAACAAGTATTTTAAAAAACAAATTTAAAGTTTTATCTTTAGAAAATATATTAGAAATTGATATATTACATTTCTAAAACTGCCCTGTTTTGTATATTACACCTTCTGTTAACTTTATTTTAGAATCTTATTTCTTTAAAGAAGCTCTTAATGTTTTTCTTGTGATTTTTGCCTAATGTAAAGAATGCCGTTTTGAATCGACAATCCGAGTTTTATCAATACAGTTATATCCCTTGACAGTATATTGTCCATGTTTCATATTAAGTGTTGCCAATATTTTTAACATACCCAAAAATCCATTATTAAACTGTATTCTCCTATATAGGAACCAAGACACAATGTTGTCAACTCAACAAACACTTGTTTTGGTATGATACTTTTGGTATGATATGTTATTAAAACTCTCGTTGTTTTGAGTTTTGAAACACACTGGACAGGATAATGCAGAAAATACAGATTTTAAAATTTTAATATCGAGTATTCTATTACCAGCTTCATTACCAGCAGCATTATTAGCTTCATTATAATTTTCAGAAAATGTTTTATTGTTTCCTAGTTTCAATTCACTGGCAGAAGATTTCACAGTATATCTGTTTCCAGCAAATCGCCGTTTTTCTAAGCTGACCCATTATGACGTTTACAATAATAAAGTGAAAATATTTTTGTCACAATGTTAAAATAACAAAGCAGAATGAGATAAAAAAATTATACTGAATAACAGCAAGCACGCTAAATCAGAGTGTAATCAAATCAGAATGTAAAGACTAACGGAAATGTTGACAAATATGATACTGAAATTTCGAAAGTAATTTTGCTTCCAAGCACATAATAATAATACATATATTTCAAAATCATCTTTTGAATATCGCCAACAGTATTCAAATGAAATATTCTTGTTTAGAGCAGTCTGTGTCCCTTAAATATCAACTTCCGGCCATTTAAACAGCAACTTCTGGCCTTTTAAACAGCAATTTCCGGTTCATAGTGTAGAACAAAAACAGCTATAACTCTACTTCTAATCATCAGAGAGACAAAACAAAAATAGTTTTTGGAAGCTAAAAATATAAGCTTTAAATTAAAGTAATAAAAATGTTTTGAAAAATTTCTTCAAAATTGATGATAACGTACTCAGATACCTTAAAATATCCTAATGACTCTACAAACCTTTTTTATTAAACATAAATTAAACATAAATGCACATTCTTGTGTGGATAATATCAATCACAGCTTGTGGTGATGCAACTAAAGGAACAATCACATACAATTTAAAACGTAGACTAGTAGTCAAAGGCTACAAATTTAAACCTTACTCTAAGCTGACTTAGTAACTCTACTAACTTATCATATTCAAGTGTCCGAATAATTGCAACAAATCAGAGCTGGCAGGAACCAAACATAGCATGTGCATGAGGCCAGAAACAACCCAAAACCTCAGTTTAAATGACTCGCTAACTCATATGCATTCTGGTGAAGAAACGGGAAAAAGTTGGTTCTTCAAACTTATTACAAAACTTCTCCATTTTTCCTTATACTACATATGAAAGAGAATGTTTAATTTTCAAGACTTATCTCCCAGCATGAAATCAACTTCTCACCTTTTCTAATTGTAGTAAAATTTTGTTTTGCCCTGGCCGTACTGCTATCTTAAATTCTTCAAGCCTCGTTTTTGGAGGGAGTTATCTAGTGGCATAATTATCTATCTGTCAAGATAATCAGTCGGAATCTTCCTGTTAGTATCATGTTTAGCCATCCACAAGGCAAATACTAGTTCATTGACACAGTCATCCAAACATTAGTGGTAATTTTTTGCATACTTGTGTATAATTTTAACTATGTTTCTGTTCACTCCCTCTGCATATTATACTGTGGTCGATAAGAAACCGTCTTAAAATGTTGTATACCAAGCTCTGAACATATGTCCTTGGAGATTTCATTAACACATTGCTTTCCATTATCTGATATTGCTTTAATTGGAGCTCCATATTTTAAAATTTAAAAATTATGTTTAAATGAATCTGATTATTTTAGATTTAGATTATTTTTTGGCACTTTGTGTTGTAATAATATGTAGAGGTTTTGCTACATAATTAGAAGGATGACACTTGAAGATAGACATGACTGTAACTTCAACACATAATTTTATTCCTTGATAACTTCTTTTTGAATACATATTTCTTAACACATCATCATTATGGGTATGAGTGTACCCTACAGTTCTGTTTAGACATCTTTTTAGGCAAAGGAGCAGTGGACAAGAAGTGGATCAACAAACTGTGCTTGACTAGCAAAAATGGGCTGTGCATTAATACCAGCGGTATTTATCGATAAAATTCCTTTAATCTTAATTTGATGAGAGCTATCTGCATTGCTCATTTGTTTAAGACAGCATAAAATGGATTAAAGGGGAGTGATACAGTCCAGGAAAAATATTATAAACAGTTTAGAACAAAAAAGAGAGATACCCAAATCAAAATTAGGAATTACGGGACTATTGCTAATTTAAGTTATAATTTTGAATTACCTATTTTTTATATGATATGTATATATTATTACAAATTGCATACACATGTAAATAATTTTAGTGACATTATATGTAAATTGTGGTCTATCTTGTATAACGTAGTATGAAAGGCCTCAAAATGTGAAGTATCGCGAGAAATAGCGCAAAGCTGGTGATTGTTTTCATCACTAAATTTTATTGCCAAATTCGGTGAGTAATTACTCAAGCACGCCAAGCTTGGCAACCATTTGGCGATATATAACCTGTGTAACTGTATCTAGCCGTATGTAACTCTAGCTATGTATGCCTTCCAGCAATTTGGAGGCATCGTAGCTACTGGTAATTTCTCTGGCAGATGGGGGGGGAAATTGTATGTAGGATTCGAAAGAGCATCAGTTTAGATTTAGTTGGGAAACTCAGATTATTGAGAGATCACCATGCAAGCTTTCGCTTTAAGGTACTTTGCATTGCTTTGTGTTTGACATTATTAGTAGTTTGAAGTGGTAACTACTGATTGTGCTCTGCCACATTAAGAAGAGCTGTACAGCTAATTTTTGTGGAAAGTTCCAAAACTGTGAAGTTTTTTCAGAAAAATAAATTTCATTAAGATTTTGTGAGTTCTGTGTGCATTCAATCCATATGCACACACATAACAATATCCTGTACTTTTGAAGAACATCTAGAAAATCTTA